ACTAAAATCCATTTGAAACCTCCCATGTTAGCAGATTGTCATATGAGCCGGCCGTAAAATGAACAAACACATACTAAAAATGTTAAAAGCGATTGAAAAGTTGGTGAATTTGCGTGTATATTCCCCCTAAGTCATTTGATATAGAACCCCGCAGTTAAATTTAGAACAAAATTATGTAAAAGTCTAAAACAGCTATTTATGTTGGCACATTGTACCACTACCCTACCGCAAAGTGATTAACAAAGTGCTTACAACGTTGTGAAAAGCTTGTGCAAAGTTGTCAGATTTACATGGAAATGTTACCTATTCTGTTACATTATCGAGTCCAGTTGCTAAAAGTTCGCGAAAGTGAATGAATATGTCATAAAAGGCCGTTTGAATATCGTAGTGGCCCTCGAAGGACGTAGATTTTTTAAACATTTTCCATACATTAAATGGCCGCCAATTACGATAATTTTTAAATGACCCTGATAGATGTGTGGTCAGGTGATCGACCGATAATGGAAGTAAAGTTTAATCGGTCGTGGTTAGTACTTGCATGGGAGACAACCTGAGAAAACCGGCGAGTGACACTTTTTTGAGTTTTTGCAGTCTGCACCTATTTGGTCCAAGCTGTTAAAACAGCGTGAAAAGTTCTCCAAAGCGATTCCAAAGTTGCTCGATTTGTTTGTTTATTTGACCTAAGTTGTTGTTATATCGAACCATGCAGTTATAAAGTATGAAAAATGGAATTGAAGATATCAAATACCTAATTAGAAGTAATAGCACTACGAAGTTATCGTTTCAGCTATAACACATTGAAGACATCACATACATAATTAAAAGTAATAGCGACACCAAGTTATCGTTTCAGCTATAACACATTGAAGACATCAAATACCTAATTAGAAGTAATGGCGCCACCAAGTTATCGTTTCAGCTATAACACATTGAAGACATCAAATACCAAAATAGAAGTAATAGCACCACCAAGTTATCGTTTCAGCTATAACACATTAAAGACATCAAATACCTAATTAGAAGTAATAGCGCCACCAAGTTATCGTTTTCAGCTATAACACATTGAAGACATTAAATACCTAATTAGAAGTAATAACGCCACCAAGTTAGCGTTTCAGCTATAACACATTGAAGACATCAAATACATAATTAGAAGTAATAGCGCCAACAAGTTATCATTTCAGCTATAACACATTGAAGACATCAAATACCTAGTTAGAAGTTATAGCGCCACCAAGTTACCGTTTCAGCTATAACACATTGGAGACATCAAATACCTAATTAGAAGTAATAGCGCCACCAAGTTATCGTTTCAGGTATAACACATTGAAGACATCAAACACCTAATTAGAAGTTTTAGCGCTACCAAGTTACCGTTTCAGCTATAACGCATTGAAGACATCAAATACCTAATTAGAAGTAATAGCGCCACCAAGTTACCGTTTCAGCTATAACACATTGAAGACATCAAATACCTAATTAGAAGTAATAGCGCCACCAAGTTACCGTTTTAGC